AGCGTCGTACGACGAAAATCGGATGCAGGGTGAATCCAGGGGTGCGTTCCAAAACTCGATTCTATCACTCCGAGTACCTTTTATCCTTGTTCAATATTCGGTGAAGAACAAGGATAAATGATACTCGGAGTTGATAGAGTCGAGTTTTGGAACGCACCCCAGCATATCAAGCGTCAATTTGATCACGTGATCGTTTTTATCGCTTAGCCGGTTTGAGCGACTCATGAAAATGTACCGTACGATTACGAACAATTCCAATTCAAGAATCAAGAGTTCGACGAGCAGATCATTAGGGTAGGTCTGTTCAGGGTATGTTTGACATTGTCAGGAACTGTCAGGGGCACACAGTTCGATTTTAAATTATCCGCATAACATTGCGCGAAATCTACGCGCTATGTGAAATTTCCGAATTGTTTCGAAGTGCCTCGAGATCGAGATATTCGTCGAGGCAAGGCTACAGCTTGAGCGGCGCGAAGAGGTTAGATTTATCCTTTGATACTTACAAGGTAGAAACATGTCAGACAAGGAGTCGAACGATGAGATCCAAGTGATAGCCGAAAAACTGCATAACGTCACGACCATCGAGCCAGCGTACAACAATACTCCGCCACAGCAACAGCATCAGCAACAGCAGCAGGCAAAGAGTACACAGAAAAACAATAATAACGTTGTAGTGCGTCATCCTGCAGATAGTAAAAAGCCTGATGCCGTCACTACCACAGCTACCGCGGAGGAGTACGTTTTTATAAGAAACGTCCCTGAACTCAATTTGCCTGAGAAGATTTTATTTGTTATCGACACAGTGAGGGAGCAGCAATGCACGCCTTTCAAACTGGGTACGGGTGCGACATACCTACCTCTGTTCATGATAAAACGTGTGGTGGAGAACTTTATTGGCGCAAAGTCCACCATACAGCCTGGGGTGCATGAGTATGCGCTAATGAGCCTGGATTCACACGGTGCTTCCTGGCTATGCGACTACACCAGTAACACAAAAACTATTCTCAATCATCTAGAGGGTATCACGGAAGATGTACCAGACGAGGAACAAAGGACCTATGATTTGGGGCTGCTATTTGAGATGATACACTCTCGAGTAGCAACACCGGTGAGAAGCCAACCGACGTTCACCTCGCGTGTTATCTTCATATATGGACGATCAAATTCCGTTCCGAAGTTCCACAGTGGACAGAAGTATCTAGAGAATCTAACAGAGAACCCATACTTCTTCTTGGACGTGCTGTTCGCCCACGAACCACCTAGCGATGACAATATGTGCGAGGCGGTGTACGCCGAAATCGCAGCTTTAGACACAACGAATTTCTCTTATATCTTCGAAGTAGGTAGGAATGCTGCTAAAATACACGATAATATGGCAAAGCTCTTAGCACATCCGTTGCAACGGCCACCACAGAAGGATGCTTCATATACTCTTTATTCAATGACGGCCAATCAGGAAGTACACACTAATGTATAGTGCCATGTATATTTGTTAGTGTTAGTAGGTAACTTATTTTCATGGAAAAGTTTGCATATTTTTCGTTGGATAAGATTTACCTTATTAATATGATATAATTTGAAGGAAATATTATATTTGCTGGTACCAGTAACATCTTTTATAGTGATCCTAAAGGTGTTTATTTTGCCGATTTAGTAGGATTTATATACGGATGATTTATGTTATTGGCATCAGTAGAACAGTGACTTTGCAGCTGTTGTAAAATTCTTTAATATGATTGGTTTGTACATTTAGATCTGTGAGGAACTAAGGATAAGAACCAATCATATTAAAAAGATCTTTCAACGGACATTGCAAAGCTTTTTTTGCTGAACATAGGCATTGACTGCGTTTAACAAAAGAAACAGTTTTGCAACTGTTGTACAATTTTTTAATACTGGCCTCGCTTTTAATTTCTCACTGGATCTAAATATATAAACCAATCGTGTTAAAGAATCTCACAATAGTTGCAAATTGACGCTACACATTATTACATCAGTCTCACACCACACACATACATACATACAAATTTGCTAACTAGTCTTTCATATTAAGTATCTAAGCCTAATTCTAAGAACTCAACATTGTTTGTCCATATAATCTCTAATCGAAATCAAGATTGATTTATATATATATATATATATGTCATAGTCAAAGCGTTAACTTAGTAAATGTATACATTTTCTGTAGTCTGCTGTAGTCTGCTGTAGTCACTGTGTACATTTACTATACTTAAATGCATATATTGACTAGTAGTGTACATTGTATATATGTATAAGTGTATGACATTGGTATATATTTACGAAGTATAAACTTGTACACATAAAGCAAATATTGTTACGCCAGAAGCCTATAACAAAACTGTAATTTTCAAACTTTTTTCATTTTTGGCATAAAGTTGAATTACATTACCGTTTATATTTTAATTGTAGAAAAAGATTTTTAAATCTATAAAGACAGAAAAATACTTATATGAAAAGTAATTGCATTTGGTAAAATATACGACTTTAGGATCCCTTTAATAATTTTATTTATGTTTATTAGAGAATATACAGCAAAAAGATATATAACACGCAACTATCTTTTCAAACTGTCATCAAATAAATAAAATCATTTTTATATAGATTTATAAAATGGTCTATTTTGCGTAAGCAAATCAAACATACAATGTCTAAGAGAGACATATAAATTCGTATTTTGAAAGATATTCTATCATCTTTTTTCTCCTTTACAATAACGTTATTTTTATTAACTCTTATGTCTCACACAGCTTATTATTACTTTTTTAATATTTTATTTATAATTTATATAGCATTATATTCATTCGTCAAATTTTAGAGCTTCGTAATGTTTTGCTATCAAATGGGCGGAAAGTTTGATTTTTCGGGTAAAACTATGTCCACAAATCTGACAGTGGAACTTTATCCCGAGATGTAGATGTTGATGTCTAACAAGATTAGACGACGTCGCAAACTTTCGTTCACACATATTACATGCGTAAGGCTGCTCACCGGTGTGCTTTCTTCTGTGCTTGTTGAGGTCTCCCGCGTGATTGAATTTCTTTTGACAGTACTCGCACATTAATTGTTTCTTCCGTATATTTCCAGTGTTTTCACGGACTCGCAAATTGTTGATATCATCTTTATTTTCTATATTAATAGAATCGTTGATTTTTTCGATCTTAACGTCAGTTTCTGTAGTTTTTTCAATTTGAAGATTTTCATTGACTTGCGACCTTTCCATTATTTCTAAATTGCCGATATTCCGATAGGTAAATTTTGACAAAAATTGCCCATCGATTTTTCTAAATGCGTCTTAAAGCTGCAAAATATGTTTCAGTTAGCATAAGATATTTTTTATGATCTCTAGAAATAATTACAATGTGATTGTAATTTATAAATTATTTTTAAAATGTTACAATAATAGATATATAAATACAATAGAACAATAAATGTTATAAAAATTATAACAGTTCAATAAATTTCTCTATTATACACATACAATTCATCTATCGTAACATTTATTTGTATCCAAGAAAAATACATGGATAACACTCGTTGAAAATTGTTTCATATAGAGATGAAACTGTTCCCTTATATTTATCATTTTATTTGGTGTTTGCATTTAAATTAATCCTCAAAACGTAATATAATTTTACATTACAAGCAACTCTCATTACGGATAACATTAATTATATTTTTTAAATTATTGTTCATTTAAATGTGCATGAAAAAATTTTAATTTCAAATTCTCTGGAAGCGACAAATTAATATTACATCTTGTAGATCAATCGAAATTGGAAACGACACTCGCTTGCAATTTATCATATAATATTACACGTCCTTACCAAAGTTTCAAATTCAATTTTTGTAAAAACGTGTGTCACTTCTGAATACGAGCACTATATATTCCTCGTCGCTTCTGAATACGAGCACTACATATTTCTTGCATTTAAGTACAACAACGTTCTTGAGCATTACACAACATACTCCCGAATATTATCAATGACGTACTTGAAAAAGTACGAAAGCAAAAGTATGACTAGTCAAAAAAAAAACAACGGATAGACTATTGTCAGTATATCTGAATAATGACATACATTTCCTCAGCAAAACGAATGATACTGTGCGAGTGTGGCATAATGGAGGTGCCATCGGGGAATACCCGACTGGTGTATCCAGACAAGCCTCCGGTAAATACAGATACTTGTTACATATACACCCATATATATATATATATATATATATGCAGAAAAACAGTCTTTAGAAGAGATAAAAACACACATAATAAAGAACATCTCTACGAATATTATAAATAAATAAATTGTATTAGGAATCAATCTCACATATATTATAGAAATTTATTTAGGAACTTTGGATCGTTTACATATTTGAGATTGCATGTTAGTTACGAACAAATTTAAATGGATTTCTGTGTAAACGATGAGTTTATATTCTACGAGTTTCTATAAATATTACAAAATATGTCATACGCGTTGCATTAATCCTTTGTTGACAAGACTTGAGAAATTCTTAAATTAAATAAAGGGTTTTTCGAGAATTAAACTTTTTAAAGATATCGTGTATATTTAAAAATAGCGATACACGTTTCCTTGATCGAAATACACATATATGTATACGTACATATATTCAAAGTAAAGAAACAATACAATTGATAACGTGCTTACGAATCTTCGATTATGTTAACAATATGATTAGATTAAACACTATTTACAATACGTAATTGAATAATTACAGTAATAATTGTAGTAATATATTTGTCGAGATTTCGTTTTTATTGAATCATATTTTAATAATAGATTCTTTGGTTTATTAGAAGTTTGGTCAATTTGTCCTTAAAGAAAATGAACAGCGATATTAAGCATCATATATCTTTATGAGACATCTAATTCCGATGAAGAAAAATCATCTAATTTGAAATCATTATCTATTTCTTTCCTCTCAATTTACGAGATCTTTTTTGAATCGTGAATATTATACTATTTATTTCTTATTACACTATTATCGCTTGACATTCTCGCCGAGAATATATTGATTCTTCTGTGTGAATGATTCGTCATTGAAATTAATAAGAGTTAAATTAGAACACTATATATTATATATTACCGGATAGGGTAATTAGCAATCTGACAGTTATAGAATAATTGTAATCTATTTTTATATCACAGAAATGTAAGTCACTTATTGATACAAAGTCCGTTCGCTTGTCGGAGATAAATATACATTATGATCGAGAAATATAAAAAATTTCTATTGTCATTATCGTATAAAATTCATCGATTTCACGTGAAATTGTACTTATCTGACCACCAACGATAATAAAAACACAGACAGATGTTTCCTAGAAATATTAATACTTCATAATATTCAGTTATGACTAAATATCCGTCCATTACTGGCACATGATCATTTTGATTTATTTATATAATCACGTTTTTGCGCATATTACGTGTAGTGATTGTCACATATTTGTTCAAAATAAAACGAAAGAGAAGAAAACGTTCGCCAGCAAATTCGTGACCATATTGATGACCATAAATCTGCTGTAAAAGTCTTCTATAATGTGACTCCAATACTTAAAGGTTATTTTTTACATAGATATATTAAAACGTATTAAAACGTTTGCACGCAAATCACAGAGCTTAAAAGACAAACGATAAAAAGCAGCAGTGTTATACTTGAACTGGATGCCGAGGATGTATAGAATGTCAAGAACTGTCTAAAATACGCCATGTATACTGAGAAATACTTAATCGTGTTCTCGAGATACTCGTTGTTCTTTGATTCGGTTGTTGTCGAATTTTTCTTGTTTGCCAGTTTCCAGTCACCGCATTTAGGAAAATTATGAGGTACAGGTGGCATTTCCTCGTTTTCGCCTACCTTGAAGATCAGTGACATTCCTATTTCCGCATGAAACTCAATGTGGCAGTGGAACAGCCAATATCCTGAAGAATATTGATCAGATCGATTATTTATACCGGCATACATTGACGACATACATTGATGTCTTTTTAAACATTATTTGTCTGTTTATACGTTGTGAAATCTTACCTGGATTATTAGCGTAAAATCGCACAATAGTATAACCACCGTCAGGTACGGTCACCGTATCCTTCAGAGGTGCCCGTTTAAGTTTTCTGCGTATTAAACCTTGTTTATCTAGTTCTCTCACTTCAGAGGTGGTAGTATTACGTCCTATCCTTTCCATAGCCACTACGCGGAACTGATAGCCGTGAAGGTGAAACGGATGATTTGCATCATATGGAACACCTGTCAAGGATTATTAGTTACGGTGAAACTTAGACGGTTTAAACAATTAGAGATACGCAAGAAATATTTATTGCTTACACACCTTCATCGACAAGAACTAGTTCTACTACGCTATTATTTTTAACCTGAAGCACATGAGTGCAAGCGCAATAATCATTCTCGCATCCCTTGACCGTGCTAGAGTTGCAAAATTGATCTGGCTTAATAAGATATCTTTCGGGCAGAAGTGGAAACGGCGGTAACTTCATTGATATGTGGTTCAATTGCGGTGTGAACACTTGTTGTTTTACTGAAAATTCATAATCAAAATATTTTATGAAACAATAAACGGTATACACTCTTTGACAAGTCTAAACTTTAAACCTGTGTGTAACATTCTTGTTAAAGAGTGTATGTGTACAATCGGATAGGATAAATAGAAAATATTTAGTAAGTGGAATATTTTCCAATAATTAAATAGCTAATTATAGATTTGTTAAAAAATATAATGCACATTTATATTTAATAGATATTAAAAATTTACAATTTTATTTTTCTTTATTTTTTATTATAAATTAATTTTAAAAATATATATTTGAATATATTTACCTTGACGGAAACTATACAAATCCTTGCGATGAAAATACGGATTATCTTTCTCGTAAAAATCATACGATATGTAAAATTGATAATCAGGTTCTCTGGTATTTGAAATATCATCACCGTCCATCGCATTCAACATTGGCATACTGATGCTATTATTTGATTCAGTTCCTTCATTTAAAGCGTTTACTTGCTAAAATCAGAAATGATTTTGTATTTCTTCTAAAGAAATTCAAAACGAACATGAAATAACGTTTCAAAAGCTATTTAAAAGACATTATACGGACACATGAAAAAATTAATATACATACCAGTCCATAGGAGTTATTTCTTACACGACTATATGAAACATTTGCTTTCGGTTTTTCATCGGGTGCGCCCTCGTATCGCAATTTTGCGACTTGATAAGCGCTCAAAAATCTTTCATCGCAATCCATCAATCCTCGAAATCTTATCCAGTAATTGTCCACCGGTTGGTCCATGTTAATTATAAAATCAAATCTTTCTCCGGCGTAACTTACCAGCGATTCGGCTACAATCACATTACATAATATATATTTAAAAAATTACATAATAAATCTATAAAGAAATAGTAGTAAAAAATACTGAAAGCAAAGTCGTACCTTGTACCGATTCAATATCACGCCCATCTGAACTGATTACGTTCAAAGTATGGTTGTCAACAGAAACTTCTATAGGGCAATTCAGAAACTCTGCATTAATAAGTCTGAATCTGTACCGGGAATTCTGCAAGCATAAACAACAAATAAAAATTAGATTGGTATAAAAAATACGCACAAATCATATAATTTTATTTTTAAAAAGAGGAAGCGAAAGTAGAAGTAATTTTTTTATTTTGGAAGATATTTCATTTAGAATAAAGTTGACTATCAGATTTATATTGACTATAAGATTTCCTTCGGAAAAATAGACTGATCTGTAAAATTATGTAATCCTTATTTTTTTGTTTTTGATAAAAATATTTTATTTATTTCTTATATGTATGATAGATATAAATATATATTTAAGAAATTAATAAAATTAAAAGTTTTGAAAGCATTCAAAGTAATATGCAATAATTGCTACATTTCAAAATTAAAAATTAGCTCGAAATAGATTTGAATAACACAACAGGATGAAATATCTTACAGTCATCTCATGCAAATATCAGCCTTTTATATTACGAATACTTTCTCTTCATTTCTCTTATGACTGAAACTTACCGGTTTTACGACAAACGTCGCAATAGGCATATCAGCCGACGTCTTATTTTTATTCTTAAAACGGCCCAAGCCGTTTACAAGTAAGTTCGGCGCTTTATTGTGACCGTCAGCGTGATAATGCGCCAGGAACTTGGTGAGACCCAGTTCATGAACCCAGTCAGCGACTATTAGCGTATGTTCATCGTAATCATATAAATCCTGGTGCC